AAAAAAAAAAAAAAAGAATATAGTGAGGAGTTAAAACTCATATTAATATAAATGACACAATCTCCATCTACATTTAAAAAAGGAAAAAAAAAAACATAAAAAGTGGCTATAGTCGGTAGAAACAATTTGGGCCATTGATAAGTACTATTTTTCTTTACAAATGCATTATCACACCCAAGGATAGCATGGGTCCACAAGGAATTGTCCATCCAACAATAGTATTGCCAATCAAAGGGTTATTCTCCACTTATAAATATAGTCTTGGTTTGTGGGCATAAAACAAGTTCAATCTCTCAATTTGACCATTACAACAAAAGCATGAATTTCCCACGTATAAACACAAAGATTTAACACTTTAAATTTATACAAGAGGGCTTTTCAAACAAATGGAATGTATGCTACGAATAGCGTTTCTGTAAAATACTACAACATCTTATTCGATCGGAGGCCATGTAACATGAGTTACAAATCGAGCAAGCATTCGACCGGTTGTACCATATGTGCCTAATTGAAGTTTCTCCCGATGTCACTTTCATGGAATGTTATGTCACTTCAAGGTATTGAAGGAGAGGTTCTGGACCTTTTCTTGGTTGCTAGAACAAGATGATGTTGTTTACGAGGAAACCGTGGACCAGGTCTACTTTGATGACAACCTGAAGGAAACGGCGAAACATGTAACCCAGTTATTCTTATTTCAATACAAGGTAAGTATAAAAACAACATATGTCTAATTCAAATTTATTTTTATTCATGTCCACAATATTGTGTGTTACAGCACTTAGCACAACACTATATTCATTGTCGAGAGCCAATGTGGGATACTTTGAAGACAACGCTTGGCCCATTAATCCTTGAACAATACCCAGGTGAAGTTTACAGAAAATGCCACCCAGACTTACCGAGTCTAGACCAAATAGTCCATGATTACATGGCGGAAGCTACTCGTATGGCTGAGTGTAGAAGGCCCCGACGTTAAATTTATTGGCGGTGATTTGTTTATTGAAATACTTTTAAAATAAAAATGTCCCAGTCCAAAACACTCCTTATATGAGTGTTTCATGTATTGTTTCTTCAACTATTCTCTGAAGTATTTTAAAATGTAATGGCTCTACAATTATGATTTCACAATGAATTCCGAAAATACTGGCGTATGATTTCATATTTTGAAGTTAGAAATAAAAATAATTTTCGTGGTTATTTTTTTGACCCGCTTTTTATAATTAAAGTAGATTGTATTTTATATTCGTTTTGAATATTGACGCGTTGTTGTGTTTTACAACCTCATTTTATTTCAACTGTTATTGGATCTCCTAAAGCAAATAATAATATTTGTTATCAATCTTTGTAGTTGAAAAAGTTTCCTGAAATACATTTTTATTGCTAAAATTCAATGGAAGCCAAAAAATATCGCAACCCCACTCGCATTGATGCATCAACATCACCATTCTGCACTACTGGACAAACAAAAGAAATGACAAAAATTCACCATTCTGCACTACTAGACAAACAAAAGAAACGAAAATAAAATCGGTCAAACAAGCAAAACATGTACATGATAAAACCTATTGTCTCATCATACTTACAAAATTGAGGTGGAATGGGTCCTATTGTACCGCAAGGCTACCAGCTGATGGGAGGATGGTTGCTTTTTACAGCTATATTTCTTCTATCACGGGTGCAACCACGCTACCACAACTTGAACAAACTTCCCCAATTTCATATATCACATTCTATAAATAGGAGCACATTAAAGGCATTACAACAACACCATATTCAAGTTCACCATGTTTCCTCAACCGCAAATGTGTTCTTGTGGCAAGGGTCCAATGAAGCGATTCATGGCACGTACAGAAAAGAATTATGTAAGTTTTTTTCCTGATGTCCAACCGGGCAACAACACCACAGAAGTTTCATTTAGGAAACTGGCATGAATCGAGAAGGTT